AAAAAAAATACACAGTTTTACAAACTAATTTTAAAAGCTTCACTAATATTAATTATGAACAAGGATTCATTAAAAATCTGATCAATAGGGCCTTCAAAAAACAGCAAGTTTTCATCTAGAAATTGTAAAAATTAAATAAACTCTCCAAAAAAACTCTTTTGCCTTCAACTTAATTGACAAAACCTTCAAAAATTGACTAAACAATCTTATCTCTCCTAAAGAAAACATGTCATCTCCAAAACCATCTGATATACATTACTTTAAACTCCCTTATATTGGAAAATTTTCAAATACATTTTAACATCAATTAATTAAATACATTTAAAATATTGTAAAGATAATATAAAAGCAAGACTAGTTATTTACAACTTTTAAAATAAGTAGTATGATTTCATCAAAGACCCCTAACCCCCAAATTTAAAAACCTTTGTTGTCTATAAATTTGTTTGCTCCAGCTGTAATGCTGGATATATTGGTAAAAACACCAGACACTACACAACAACGGTTTCAGAACATTTAAATTTAGATCAGGCATCCTATATTTACAAACATCTTACTTCAACGCAAAAATGCAAAAACTCAACTGACTCTTTTTCTATTATTGTCAGAGTTTCTTCATGGTAATTACTTATCTTATAAAAAGTAATTATGGTAACAATTGTAAAAATATTAAATTTTTAATGCAGCCAAATAAATTGTTTATATATAGAAATTGTAACTTTTTTTACCTGATGATATCAATTAATGTTGATAAAAGATGTTGTTAAAATTTTTTTTTTTTAATTGTTATTCATTTAAAAATCATATAAATATATGAATATATATATATATATATATATATATATATATATATATATATATATATATATATATATATATATATATACATATATATATATATATATATATATATATATACATATGTATATATATATATATATATATATATATATATATATATATATATATATATATATATATATATATATATATATATATATATATATATATATATATATATATATATATATATATATATATATTATATATATATATATATATATATATATATATATATATATATATATATATATATATATATATTATATATATATATATATATATATATATATATATATATATATATATATATATATATATATATATATATATATATATATATATATATATATATATATATATATATATATATATATATATATATATATATATATATATATATATATATATATATATATATATATATATATATATATATATATATATATATATATATATATATATATATAACTATTGTTATTATATTGTTAAGAATTATGTATATGAAAGAAACACTAAGCTTTAAGAACTATTACATCCATGAATTAATACAATAACCCACTGTAAAATCAATAAAGTTAACAAAATAAAGACCACGTAATAAAGCAATTTTAAGTAACAAACAGTAATATATGGCACGTGTGTTGTGTTGTTATTAATATTGCTCCGCAAATTTTTTTTAAATGTTGTTCGGCAAAATACGCAAGTAAAAATTAATCGTTCCGAATGGGATATGATCTAAACACAACCTAAAAAAACTGGCCTCTTAATTTTTTACGGAAAATGCAACAAATCATGCCATGTAATTTAAGTAGGCCATGTATACAATAATTCATCGTTTGAGTTAATATTAATACACAATAATTCATTGTTTGGTTTTTTAATAGGCCCATATTTTACTATTGGAGTCGGAGTTACAATTTTGTTTATCGGTTCTGACTCGTTAAAAAATGTTGCAACTCAAACTCCACAACCCTGGCATTACTATTAATCCATCAAGACCTAAATCAGTAATACGGATTATTTTACTTAATAAATCTAAAATATAGTATCCAACAAATTTACAAATATCTGCTCCATGATAACTGCCCATTCCCAGCTAACATTTGGCTTAAAAAAGACTTTTTTTAGGCGTATTAAAAACGCCTTTTTTTTGACCAAATGTTTGCTGGGTTGTTACACCACGGCAGTCATGTATGTTTTACTTTTTCCTTATTTTTTAAGTTTCCTTATTAAAATAAAGTTTTTCTGCAATGTTTTATTATACAGATTGTCTCTTCCGGAATAACTGTGTGGTTTTTCCGGAATAACTGTGTGGTTTTTAGCAAATTCAATTGTTTTATCTAAAATATATGCAGTATACTGTATATTAATGTTAATTAAAACCATTTACCCTAAATTCTAAAAAAAAATCCAAATTTCAATTAATAACCGGCTAAACCAAAACTCTTATTAAAAAAGTGGTTTTCCAAAATTTTGAACTAAAATTTAACCCCAAAAAAAGAATACAAAAAAGGGAAAAAAAAACTAGAAATGCAATTTGGTTTATTCCGTCCCCTCCCCCATATAGCAAAAATGTTTTCACAAACATAGGAAATGCGTTTTTAAAATTCCTTGACAAGAATTTCCCACCCACTAAAAAATTACATAAAATTTTAACTCGAAATACAATTAAAGTTAGCTACAGTTGCACAAAAAATATGGAAAGAATTATAAATAATGCTTTGTTAAACATAAGAGAAATCCTAAATAAAAAAACCAACAGAATATTGTAATTGTAAACAAAAAAACAATTGTCCAATCAGTGGACAATTACTAGGTAAAAGTGTGTAAAAATTTCAAATTGTTTAAATATCAGATTGTTATATATTGTTGGAAAAAATTTTAAAAAAATATTCCAAAACTGAAAATTTTATCAAAATCGGATGATTCTACAAAAATTTATGAGCATTATAGCGACGAAATTTGATTACTAGAATTCCTTAATAAAATTGTGACCAATTTATAATGGTTTTGTAACTTAAACCGCCTTAACATTGTCAAATCTTATCTAAATGCATATAACTTGGTGTCAAAAGATAGGTGTAACATTGGGCTACAAGCTTCTTTTGCTTTTAACACCTGTGCGTATTCGGGGGGCTAGAGGGGGAACAGAAGAAACATCTTAGCCATTAAAAAATTCACATTTCTTCCAAAAAAGGTTGTTTTTTTTATATATTAAACTCGTAATTTATCATTTTAAGTTGTTTTTTTTTTATTCCAGTTTGCAAGCAAATATTATAGATGTATTTTATGAAGAAGATGGATGTGGTGGTGATGGTACACACCCTAGTATCGAAAGATTCATTCTAATAAGTATTTTTATCATTATTAAAATGAATGAAAATAGCAAATAATAAAACTAATATATAAAATAATACATAATAAAAATTATATTTTATTAAATTATATATTAGTGTCATAAATAAATTGTGGGGCGTCACCCCCCCTCCCATCTATCACAAAAAAAGTTTAAAAACAAAAATTAGCAGTATAAAAAGTGGTAGAGCACGCTCCTTCCAAATCTTAAAACTTTAAATTTAATGCTGCCTTTAAATGCTCTAAATGCTAAAAAAAAAAAAAAAAGAAAATGTATACATATGTATAATAAATAAGAAACTTACATAATGCGATTGTTTATGTGAAAAATAATAACGCTAAATATAAAAAACGACAATAACATAAAAAATTATGTTTTAATTTATAACTTATTTCTTGACTTTTAGTGAATGGTTAAAAACAGTTTGGGTCACCTTTAAGAATGAAAACTAAGTTATATAAATAATATAGAGAAGAAAAATATGCTAAATTAAGGCTTCTGTTACTTTGTTAGATATTTTTTAGAGTAAACGGTCAATTTATCTTAACCGTCCTTGTAGCGTAGTTTGTTAAGCTGTATAACAATGTTTGCTGCAATACAATCCCTGCCAAAACAGTTTCCTTTTAATGTTTCCAATGCTTTAAATGAAGACTTGCAAGCAGAGGTCATTGTATCCAATGGGTGAAGATGGCAGTTTAGTTTGTTTAACGATTTCTGCACTAAGTATTTAACTTGGTGACAGTTGCATGGTTTGCTGCCACTCTGTCACTCATCATATTACTTATATTAGCAATAATTGTAGTTCGTGCTTCAATATATTGTTGCTCGTAAAAATTACTATACAACTTAGCAAGGTGATCTACAGACTGTGTAATAAGACTCTGATAATCATTAACTGTAACCCAAGCAAGTTGGTCAACAGCCACACAAATGCATCGTGTTTTGGTTGTAAAGTGCATAGCATTTACATGGCAACCCTCTCGTGTAGTAGCATCAAAGCCCGAGGTCATATTTATTGTTGCAATAGCTATTTCAGCAGTCTGCAGATCTGAACTCCAAGCTCCCGCATCATCTGCTCCACAGTTGTAGGATGCGGAATTTCAGTTGTTGAACATTTATTTTGAAAGTATACAAGTAAAACATGTCCTTTAAAACATACCTAATATGAAAAAGGTAGTTTAAGAAACTCTGATTTCAGATGATTCAACATTAAACATTTCTTTGACATTTTAAAAACTCTAGGTACAAGTGTAAAAATTTAATTATATTATTTAGAGCACTAAGCTGTAAATAAATAAATTATATTTATTTAATATAGAGAATAAAATAAATATAGTAAAGAATTTACAAAATTTTATTGTTATATGTTTAATAATATTAAATCTGCATGTTTAACATGTTACAATAACCCTACTTGAAGGAGAGTTTTTGTAGACGTTCATAACTTATAGAATAACAAAGCAAATATAATATATAAATATTTATAATTCTATACAGTATATAATAATAAGTATATAATAATAATATACAGTATATAATAATAAACTATTAAAATTAAATTAATTTTAATAGAATATAATTACTATTGCAATAGTCTAGCAAAAAAAAAATATTTTGATTAATTATTTAATAAGTAAATAATGATGCAAATATTCAATAAAAATAATTTAATACTTTGAAAGAATAATCAAAAATACAACTAAAAGTTTAACTAAAAAATTAAAAATCTTCAAAAGATTCAAAAAGGATTCTTCTTAAGAATCCACAAATGCCACAAGGTTGTTTATAAAAAAACAGCAAGTTAATAAATATGTATTTTGCACCAAAATTTATTGCATAATCAGCAAATGCATAGAAAATAGAAATAAAGCAAAACATGATTGCTTAACATTACAAGCCATTTCATATAATATTAAAATATTTCATATAATATATAATATTAAAGAATTAGTTCCGATCTTAAGTTTACGCCGAGCATCATGCAGCTGCCAAATCGTAAGTGCCATTTTAGACATGTGCTCTATACACCTCTTTTGTTATATTAAATAAACAGTTTTGTAGCATCACTGCGTGATATTACAACATATTCGAATATTTTTGTTTTTCGTTAAAAGCTGAGACTTGCAGCCTTTCTCAAAATCATTGATCTCTTGTCGCTGGTGTTCGGTCAAAAAACTTTCTAAAAGAACCACATGTAGATTTAAATAAATTGAAAGTTGAGAATACTAAGTTTCAACAAAAAGAAATGAAAAAAACGCTGCAAACTAAAGCTAACTTACTTAAAACTTTTTTCCTTGTTTGTTTTTTACCAAAACACAGATTTATCAAAAAATTAGAAACCATATAAATATGACATAAAATGATAAAAGGTGGTGGTAAAGGCGGGCGATTAGCATATTCTCGAATTAAACCATAACGTTCAAACATCCATATTTGCTTAGCACGAGATTGCACGTCTTGATAAGTATTACTTTATTAAAAAATATACATTAATAAGAAAAAATTACACAAGTATTTACATAAGACTTAAATTAAGTATTTACATAAGACTTAAAGTCAAATCACCTTCATTAAACATCAGTCAAAATTCATTTTAATTGTTTTATTGGTAAAAAAACATCACAATCGATATATAATTTGCAAATAGGAGTGCACCACATAATTATAACAAATATTCGAACGTTACAAAATCTCTTTAAATCTTTTTATAAAAAAATTATATTACGTGATTTTACTTATGGCTATGACAAAATGTATTATGGCTAAGACAAAATATATGACTATGACAAAATATATAATGGCTAAGACAAAAATTTCTAGCCTTTAAAGTATTTCAGTGAAGCATAATATTTTCCGAATTAATTTTAGATTTAAACTCTATTAAACAGTGGTCTATGACAGATGTTTAAAATTTTTTAAAATTGATTTTTTTTTAATCATAATCTACATTTGACATCAACACACTTATACCTGGTCATCATAAACCTATAAATCTAATAAAAATTGGCCACAGAGTTAAAAATACTTACTTAAATATGGCAATTAATAAATTTAAAAGCAAAACATTAGCAATCAAAAGATACGCTCCAAGAAGTATCCAAACAATAGGTTCTGCATAATTATTGGTCATATCTGTCCCAAAACGAGTTTTATTTGCTAACAAAAATTTAAACAGCAAATAAATACTTTTAGAATTTCAGTAAAAAGAATTAATAATAATAATAAAAAGTCTATCTATAAAAATAATAATAAAATAATAACAACTAATTATACTAATAATAAAAATATAACTCTGTTTATAAATGTATAAAAAAATGTACTTTGAGCGTCTCGATCTATAAATAACTCTCCATATATGTTAAAGTAAGGACGAAATATTGATTGAACAAACATATGTTTTTCACTATCTTGTGGAGTAAGTATAGAGGCAGTTGAGATACCAAATGCCAAAAGAAATACAAAAAGAATAACCAAAAAATATACCATATCTAGAAACTAAAAAAAAAAGTAAATAATTTTTCTTGGATTGGCCAAACCAGCCGTCTGGCAATCGCTGAGAGACCGCATTTCAGACTAACAATGTATTACTTGTATAGTGGTAAAGTGCTCGCCTGGTAAGCTAAAGGTACAAAGCTCAAACCTATCATCTTCCTCGAAGTTCTAGACTCAATTTCATGATAAGTAGCCTCCTCAAATTTAGTAGCTTTGGGAAGGTATTAACAAAAAATTTAATTGTAGTTATATTATATAACTATAATTAACAAATTTGTTATATATAATAATAATAATAATAATAATAATAATAAATGTAATTATAATTATAATAATTCTAAAGAAAATGGTTCTGATTTTTCTTTATTTCTAATATTGATTGTGTATAATCAACTTAACTGAAAATAGGAAAACTATTTTCTAAAGAACTTAGATTTAAATACAGAACTTTTTTCCCTTTTTATTTATTACTGAATGGTGATCATTAGTATTAACTAATCATTTTTTTAAATACTTTTGTTAATTTATTATATTTTTATAATTTAAAATACTAATTTAAAAATACTAATTAGTATTACTCATAAAAAAAATTAAAATTTAACTTTATAATAAATTTACCATTTTAGAAATCATAACAACATATAGCCCCAGCATCCTATTAACATAAAACACATTTAGCAAACGAAGCACCCACATTCCAGCATTGATTGCATATATATTGTGAGCCACATCAGAAGTCCTTTCATCAAAACGTAACCCAAATCCAATGAAAAAGATTAATATTGCTAGCACGTCTAATCTATTCCAGTAACTGGACCACCAATTACAAAATTTCCCTTTAACGAATAACGATTCTTCTTGGTTTATCTAAATAAAATTATATTATTAAAATTAAATTTTTTGTAGAACAGGTTAATAATATATTTAAATTTTCAAGCTAATTTAACTGTTCATATTTTCAAAATATTATTAATTTGTTTGCGAACTACTTTTCAGGAGGTAAAATATAAAGACTATTTTTATTCAAAGTCGCATACTTTATGTTTATTCAAAGTCCCATACTTTATGTTTTGATTCTAATAATTTGCTTCAAACTAAACAAAAAACATCAAAATTTGAAGCCTACAAAAAGTTGGACTATTTTTCACAGGTTTTTTATGTTTTAACAGTTTATGCTTTTATGGCTTAAAATAGTTTTGTGAGTTGAAAAAGATTTTTTTTTAAAATCTAATTCTCTCTAAACAAGGCTGCAAGCAAATAGTGGTTGCTTGTTGGGACTAGAAGAAAAAAAAGAATTACAGAGCAAAGAAACAGTTGGCATAAGACATGAAAAGTTGAAGGTTGTATGAGTCAAGAAAAGATGAAAATGGAAGAGTGCTCCAAAGGATTTAGGTGCAGGAAAAAAATTAGTCAAATAAAAGTTTTTTGAGCATGCAGAGACATATACAATAAAAGGATGCATCTTTGTTGAATGATGTGTCAGGATAGAATGAGTTTTTGTTGTTTTATTATTATAAAAATAGATAATAATAGCTCCTTTGATCAATAACCATGGTAATATTTATAAAAAAGAGAAAGAGATGCAATCTTATAACAATGGGAGATAAGCTTAGTAGATAAATGCCCAACTACTTTACAATGCGTTTTTAGACCATGTCTAGAAGAGAAAGAGCATTGTTAGAAGAACCAGCTCAAATATGACCAGTATTCCATTCAGGAATAAATAGGATATTTGTAGAGGTAGAAAATGAAATCAGGAGTAAGAAATTTGAAAACACAATAAAGAGAAGCAATTTTAGCAGATGTTAACTTTATAATTGATTATATGGTTTCCATGAGAGGTCAGTAGTGAATGATAAATAAAGAAAAAGCAAAGAAGACGACCCAGTAAAAGAGTTACCATTCATTATTATATAAATGTAAACAATATTGCGATAGTTATTTGCAATAAATAACCAAGTTTTATTGGAGTTTAAATTCACAAGCCACTGCAAGCCCCAATCTGTTACAGAAGTGATATCAGATTTAAGATCGACTGTTTGTTCTAAGTGATTAGATATAGCAGCTGCACAAGAAGGTGAAAACCAAGGAATAGAATGAGGTTTGATTTGGAACTGACTAGAAGGAATAAAAGCATCCATGCCTGCCTGCATCCAAGAGATTGTGTAAGAGGCGCATTTATTAGCTAACAGAAAAAGTTAGCTTTAAACTAATATTAATAATAGATAAAATAACATGCAATGATAGGTTGAATCTGAAAAAGAAGTACGAAATGAAAATTAACAGAGATCATTGTATGGTCGAAACCACCTAAAGGTTAACAAGGAGAGACTGAACACCAAATAGGGTGAGAGACAAGACATAAATCAAGAGTGAAGGTAAGTGATTAGGGTTGTCTCGAAAACAAACAAAGTTCACATTTATTTTTCACAAAGTTAACTTTATGGGTAAGAGATTGAAATACAGAACTTATGGGCTTTAGTGCCAGCAGGGTCAGTGAAGTTAATGTGATGAGCATTCAAGTCACTGGTAACCTAGCCATTTAGTGTGATGAGCATTCAAGTCACTGGTAACAACAATATTGACAGAAGGGTAAAGAAAAAGGGAATGGTCAATTTGATCAAAAATTACATCTATAAGAGTACAGTCTTGGGAATTAAGAAGAATGATAAAGAACAAAGAGAAAGGAGATAATGAAAAGGTGCTAAGCAATAGCACACAAAAGATTGCTCATATGATTTAAACCTGATTTCTCAACAAATTGGTAAAATGATGACATCTAAGTCAAGCATGTATGGTAGCCTTTGCAAATCAAAGGAAAGTAGCAATCAATTTTGAGATCTAAAAAAAGAACAGCCAAAATTAAGTTAGTCTTACAAAGAGCAATCAAGTTTGGTGAAATTTTTAAGAGGTAAGATTCAAATGATGGAAAGTTATTTTGAAGACCACAAAGGGTTGGTGTTCAAAATAACTTTCCATAAGTCCTTCCTTAAATAAGATTGCAACCTGAAATATACACCAAGAGTGTAAAAATGGCTTCAAAAATTGTTTCCATAACAATATCATAAAGATGTAAGTTAGGAACCTTATAGAAAAACTGTGGAAAAAGTATTCAAAAAATAAGTTAAAAAAATCAGAAAAATAAAACCAAATTATGATAACTATCAAAAGTTGGTATTCCAAACATGTTTCTATCCAACCATGTAACCAATGCATGTCAAACATTATTTGACACTATGGTACTCCAACCATTGTCAATTAGTATTAATCTCTACGCCTTTAAGATATAAAGCAGTACTAGAAGCAATCCTACCAAATATTAATTAAAAATTTTTAATATTTGATACAACAAAAAAAATTTCACTTTTTTTTTGACCTTGATTTAAATCAATTTTTCATTCAACAATGCCTATTTCTTGCATTTAGTTAAAGAATATAGAAATTTATGTTTATATCATAAATTCTAGACATAACTATTTCTTGCATTTAGTTAAAGAATATAGAAATTTATGTTTTTATCATTTATGACTTTAAACCAATAAAAAATAACTAATTTTTTTTGTTCAGTATTGTGTGTGTGAATGTATTTAAACAAGTTTTGAAATTCTCATAAGTGTACGCAAAGCATCGTTTTACACTTCAATATACCTCATTTATTTCTTCAATTGTAAAGGAAAGAATATAAACTGCCAAAATCCATTCCTCAATTAACGGTTTTGTATCAGACATTGCAACGTATGCAAACAAAAGTAGAAAGATCAAATAACTAAACTAAAACCACAAAAATATTTTAAATTTTATTAAAACTTTGAATATTGAAAATAAAATACATAAGGATACAAATTTTAATTCAAAAAATATAATTACTACAAAAAAATCTCTTACCAAATTTGTAATGAACTTTACAACAGGTGTATGAAAATAGAAATTCCACACTTTATTTATAAAACTCATCTTTTGATTAATTGGTTTTTCTTTTGTATTCTTAATTTCTTTTTTTTTATTTTTAAAAATGAACTTTGAACTGCTTAAATGCAAAGCTTCATCTCTTGCACTATGCATCTTTTTCTGTTCTTCAAGGTTTATGCATGTAGCGTAAACAGAGCGTTCTTAAAAGTGATATTTAAATACATTTAGAATTTTTTCAAAAACTTATTAATATAATAAAAAAATTATATATTTAAACAATTGTAATTTAAATTCAAGTTAAGAATTACTTGGAAATGAAATTAATAAACAAAAGGATTAATGCAAGATACAAAAAGTTATAAAACAATATTATTAATATAAAATGGTTATTATTTTGAAATATTTTCAAAACTTGGCTTCATTTGAGATCCATGTTGGCATACTTTGTAAAATGATTTTTTGAAAATATTAGGGATCCATCTGATGTTTAAGAGTCTTTCAGCATAGTTAAGGCAATTTTTAAATTATTTAAATTCTTTTATTTGGAATTAGCATGATTTTGTCAACATGTTGTGTCGAAAAAAGAGCTTTAGATATTATAATTTTTTTTGCCTTAGGTTTTTATGTTTAAATATAATTTTCTTTATTTTATACAATTTTTTAAACTTTTCTACTAGCCTTAATAGTAAACTTAAAGAAAACTATTTTTAAGTTTTAAGATTCTACTCAACAGCGTTAACAGATCTAAAATTAAAATCTCTGGAAAAAGTGTGTTAACCCATTATAGACTCTAATTCTAATTTTTATGTTAAAATACAAAATTAAATATATTTGTAAATGTATAACATTTCTATTAATTTTCACAAAAAATTTAAGAGTTCAGACCAAGAAATAATTTATAATTAAGAAATACTGCCAATAAACGATCATTACAGATCATATTATTAAATTATGTTCATTTTAACTTTTTTTATTTAAAATTTTATAAAAAAATCTGGACAAGCAATTGTAATTTTTACAAAATAAAAAAAAAATCTTTGGTATGGGTTTTTGGCCAAAAATATTTTTACTTTATGTTTACTAACTTCTATCATTTTAATTTATTTCACCTTGTCATAATTCAGAGACCATATCAATTAATGGAAATATGTTGTATCCAGCAAAATATCACACAGATACTAATAATTTTAATTGATAATAATTTTTAAATCACCTTAACTTTACCAAGCTTGAGTCTGAAAATAATTTTTATAAGAAAATATATATAATTTGTGTCATTTTTATAAGAAAATATATGAAACTTGGGGCATTTTTATAAGAAAATATATGAAACTTCATCATTTTTATAAGAAAATATATGAAACTTGGGTTATTTTTTATATAGAAAACTTTTACACAGTCAGAGTAGATATTGCTTAAAAATGTTGTTTTAAGATGCTTTAACCCTTACATCATCCTAATCATGAGGGATTGCAAAGATACAGATTTTTAAAAGTCTGGTTATCTGAAAGAAAATTGAGCATTAGACAAGAGAAGTTTATTAATCATCTATTATAAAAAATTCTGAGCAACACATTTTTATTGTAATACTTTTTTAAATGTTACAAAAATTTTGCATTTGAAACTTGACATGGACAATAAGTAGGGTCTATTAACTCCAACCAAATGGTTGAAAGTGTGATTATAGATAAGGATATATTTTCAACCAATTATATCATAAAAAATAAAATTTTTGAATTTTAAATTTTAAATTTCATAAGCATTCAAAAAAACAAGAGAAAATTTATTTTTTTTGAAGAAAAATAAACAACACTATTAACTACGTAAAATAAATTGTTAATTAATTAAACATTAAACTAATTGCTGAACTGATTCAAAATTAATACAAACAACAAATTCTGTTCTTACGTTTTTTTTTACATAAAAAAGAACAACAATTAATTAAACTGCATTGATTTTCTGATGAATCTATTTCAGTATATGTAAAATTTTCTTGAAACTCTAGTAAACTTATGCATGGTGGAAATAAAATTGCAAACAAATATTGAAACCATGTTAAATTTGTTTTGATATACCCTGTCCAAACGTCATTTAACAAATTTTGAACTGCATGATGGGATACAAAATCTTTGTGATATGCTAAAACAGCTAAACTTAAACATGTAGTATTCCTATTTTGAATAATGCTGCATGTGAGAAGTTTTTCAGTGAGCATTCGATCTGTCCCATAACACTGATTCAGTAAATCTACACATAACTTGCTAAAATCCCTTAAACAAAAATAAATATGAAATAAATCATAAGTTTTGATCAATCAAAATATTTTGATTCAATTTGAAAAACGTTTTTAAGTAACAAGCAAAACAAAGATAAATCAGAAAGTTAATAAAAAAACAAGACAACAATATCAAAATCTAATATTATTTATTACGACTTCTTATTTAAATGTTGTGTTTCTCAATTGCGGAATGCAAATTTATCTGTTGTTCAACACCTTTTTATTGCTAATTTTTAATAATAACTTTCATGTTCTCAAATACAATTATGAAAAGATGTAATTATCAAAAAATCTTTTTGAAAATTAACCACTCAGTTTAGTTGTTATTCTAATGTATAACTATGCTAAAAAAAATTATTAAAAAAAAAAATTTTCAAATCTTACTCAGCTTTTTGTTTTGAACGTTGCACAACATTATCAGGTAGATCATATTCTTTTGCTTTTCTCACAAAGTATTTACAAATTTCTCTTCCAAAAAAAGCTTTAGCTAAAGATTGTTCTTCAAAACTCCAAAAGTAAGTTGCCATTTTATGCATGTTATTAACCAAAGCAAAGAAAAAAAGCTCTTTAAAAGGATAAGAGAAATGACCAGCAGTGTAATCTTTTTCCTTAATAAAAAAAGTACAACTACCAGTTAACTGAGTTGTACCAATATATGGTTACTTGTGATTCAAGTCATGTGTTTGGTGTTATTTTTATCAGATTAATTTAAATTTCATAATATATTTATTTAAAAAAATGCACTAGTTGTTTTCCATCAAAAGTTGTTATAGTGAGTCATAAATTTATAAAATTATAAAAAAATATTAAACAATTGTTTAATATTTATTGTTTAATTTAATTTTTATATATAAGACTTCTTAGTAAAATAGACAGTCCAATTCTTTATACATAAACAGAAAAAAGTAAGTATATAAAAACCGAACAAAAAAAGTAATCAATTTACATACATTTATTTCTTCTAAATGAGTCCAGATATAAAATTTTTTCCCAGAGGAGTAGGGGAATGTGGGGGAAGGGGGAACAGAATAATAGATAAAAGTATAAGTATTAAAATTCTTTATTAAAATATTTTAAAATAGTACATCTTAAAGAGGGGAACAGTCACCCTAAAAACTCCCTTGGGTTTCTGTCTAAAAAAATGACATACAAAACAATAAATAAAAAGTACCTTTATAAACAAATCAATTTCATGATTACTGAATAAGTAACAAGCCTTTTGTATAGCTTCTTTTACATTTTTTAAAGATATTGAAACATGATACGGATCTAAATTTTCATATGAGCAGAGCAAATTGATCACAATCTTTAAATCTTCAGAAGTCTTATTATCCAATGCTGGTTTTAAATCTTTGATTATATGAAAGTAGTTTAATAAGTTAGGTTTATTTTTTAACTGAGTAACTTTGTATCGGTAACCATAAAGAAACTCAAGAACATTTAATGTGAGTAAAGTTTGTATATTAATACCATAACTTAAAAACAATTTCACAAAATCCACACGATTGACTGCTAAAGCTACAACCATTGCATTTTTCAGAGCTTTTTCCTAAAAATTCAACTTTTTAAAATATCAATTTATTAATGCTCATTATTTTGATTAAAACTTAATATCAATCTGCAAAACATATCTAAGAAATTTATAAACAACTACTAAAATTCGAAATAAAACTGCAAATGGTGCCTGAAATATGAACTAATATTTTAAATGTCTTTTAATGAATACAATAATAAATGAGTACAATAATACTTTAATGATATTTTATAATAACTTTAATGATATTTTATAATAATTTTAATGATATTTTATAATAACTTTAATGATATTTTATAATAATTATGATACTTTATAATAATTTTAATGATATTTTATAATAACTTTAATGCTATTTTATAATAACTTTAATGATATTTTATAATACTTTTAATGATATTTTATGATAATTTTAATGAGTACAATATTGAATACAATATAAAATAATTTTTAAGATCAAACTTAAAAAATAAACAAATTAAATTTTTAAGGTTTTAGTTTCATTTTTAAAACTTTAATGTTGCTAAGGATATTAAAACTTTAATGTTGCTAAGGATATTAAAACTTTAATGTAGCTAAGGATATGAAAAATTTTAAAATAATTAAAAAATAATCAACAAAGGTTCAAAAACCTAAAGTTATAAAACTATACTGGCTACAAACTTGACCAAACACAAATTTATTTGACCAAACATAAATTTACTTGACCAAATATAAATTTATTGACCTTATAAAACCTCAAAAGTCCATAAATTTTGATCAGGGATCGTCCATAAAGTACATACGCTTGAAGCGGAAGAGGGGGTTTAAAAATAGTGTATATAAGATGGGAGGGCAGTGGGTCAATTATAAAAGAAAGAAGACACTAAATTTAAAAAAATATCATAAAATATTAGATAAATAGTTTAAAAGCGTAGGTACTTTTAAGGAGGTGGAGGGTAATACTTTTAGGGGTGCAGGTGGGTGGGTGGGGGGTGGACAAAAAAAAAGCGTACGTACTTTATGGACGATCCCTCACTGGAAATTCCCCAGCTATTTAAGTAATTAAACTTCTTTATATAAACATAAAATTAAAATTATTTTAAAGAATTATGTAACTTATATATATATAATTGCATATATAGTTCTGTTTATAGATTTATATAATGGTATTTAAACACTTAACCTCATTCTCTGAAGCTAATTTAGCAACTTTTGAAATACAATCCATGGCCTTTTCTGGTTGATTCCACCACAAAGTGATCAAAAGCTGTTTGAACAAAGATTTTTCTAATAAAAAAAAATTTTTTTTAAACAAAATATTTTTGGTGTAATTGTATGAATATATATATATATATATATATATATATATATATATATATATATATATATATATATATATATATATATATATATATATATATATATATTCATACAATTACAATTACATCAAATGTACTTCTGAACGAATAAAATTTTTTTTTTTATAAAAACATAAAATATTTTTGGTGTAACTGTATGAATATATATATATATATATATATATATATATATATATATATATATATATATATATATATATATATATATATATATACATACAATTACACCAAGTGTACTATTATAAACTTTGTACATTAAGTTTTTTTAAAAATTAAGTTCTCAAAAAAAGTACACTAATTTTTTTAAAAAATTGCAATAATTGTAAATTACAATAAAAAGTTGCAATAATTGTAAATTGCAATAAAAAGTTTTTTTAACTATAATTTTCGATAATTTCATTTTTGTTTTTACTTATCATTTTATACTCTTTTTAAATATTTGTTTACTTTATTGTTTTATTGATGGGAGTGTATATACATTAAATAACTTAAACAGATAGACATGCAAGAAATGTTTATTCATTGACTGACTATATAGGTAGAGCATGTTAGAAGTCTACACACATTGACTGACAAATAGGTAGAACATACAAGGTAAGTACATAAGTTGACTGAAAAATAGGTAGAACATGCGAGAAGTGTTGCTACATCGACATACAAATAGGCAAAACATGCAAGGAGTACTGCTACATTGAATGACAAATAGGTAGAATATGAGAGGAGTACAGCTTCACCAACTGAGGGTTTGATATGGGCAAGCAATCTATAATTAAAAGTTTTTTCTCTAAATTTTCAAACTTTTTCTGGTCTGGTTTAGCAGCATTCCATTCAAAACGAATGTTTATGAAAGACACTTTCGACAATCATGCAAGAGTATATATATTAGCGTAGATCATCATTAAATTTTTTTTTTTGTTCAAATTACTTTGAATAGCAAAATAATGTTGCTCTAACATCTAAATATCATTAAAATAAAATAAAAAGTTAATTTTTTTTTTCCTTTCATTGCTGCCTTTTCTTTTGCTATTAAACCTTCAAGATTGTTTTAAACTCAAAATTCTACGCTGTAGCAAAGTTACGTTAGCACTATAATAACTAGCCCAATCATTTTTTATAACCAATAGAAAGTTTTTGGCTGCTTTATATGTACTTTTTATTATACTTATAAGAAGAAGTTTCTAGCTAAAAAAGTTTTACTTTAATGTATCCGACTATTTTCATTTTTCCAGATACGGCTGTGAATGCTTTCTTTCAACTCACCTACTTCTATTGTCTTGAACATGCTATAAAAATACTGTAGATCTTTGTTCATATTATTTGTCACAATCTCATGTAGATCATATTCTGTCTGACATCAAATTTGAAAATTTGCAAATTGTGACAATTTGCAAGTACTTTTCGTATGTTGCCACTAAATGCAGTAGGTCCTGAAGTGGTGCCATCTAAATGCAATACAAAATTTCTCAATAGCATTTCATTAAAATGGAACATACACACTAACCATTAAACTGGATATCCCAAATGCAATTCCAGTAATCTTATTACACCATTGTTCACACCAGTATTTACGTTCTCCATCAGCACCAATAGCTAACACATAATCAAGTGATATTTTGTATTCATCAAAAAATTTATGATAGCATTTTTGGTTTTTTTCAATATTCTACTTGATGAAGATACATGTTGAACTAAAATAGAATGAGGATCTTCTATTAATGAGATATTTTCCTCAGTGATTATGTCTAAACTGTTAGTTGCTAAGGCAAAAAAAGTTATATTTTTTTGCCTGTCAAAGAAAATTCATTTTGGGCCTACTAAACACATACCTAACTTTGCTTTGTGTGATAATGTAGTTCTAAGCAGTTGTCTTTGGCGCCTTGTCATTTTTTTCAGTATTCGATAACCTGATAGATTCCACAATAAAGATTTGAAAAGGGCAGTCCAATTTGTCTGAAATAGTTACATCATTTGGAGTATTAAAGCCCTCTGTTTTGATTTCATCCTCATTGAACCATTCATCAAAAGCTGCATTCTCTTCTACCACAATTACAACCACTAACTCTCTTTTGCACTTCTTTCCTGTTCTTCGCAAACAGATCTAACTCGCATAAAATTGGAATGATTAATGCTGACATGCTTTTTTTAACATAACTTAGGAGGCAAAATACAAGTTACAATGCTTACAGATTCTCAGAGGTAAACTTGATTGCACAGAGGGACAAAATAGATTGTAAGGAGGAAGTTTAAATAATTTCAATGATTGAGGAATAGTGCTCTGAATATTGGAGGCAATAAGAAAAAATACAGAATTATTACGTATATATATATATATATATATATATATATATATATATATATATATATATATATATATATATACGAAAATAAAATTTAAACAAATATTAAAACAAATTTTCATTCTTTTATAATTAATTACAATAAATAAAAACATTACATTCTGTTACGTTTACATTCTGATACGTTTCATAAAAACACATATTTACATGTGTTTTTATGAAGTAAACATAAAAAAAATTCTCTAACATGATGCCCTTTCCTAATGACTCCCCACCCCCCTTTCCTAATGACTCCCACTCCCCACGTCTTTTGTCCCTTGTCCTTTTTTGTCCTTTTTATCCCCCTCCCCCCTTATTAGCACGATCTTTTGACACCCTCCCCCTTATTAGCATGATCTCCTTTATGGATGCCCCCTTATTACAACTTAAAATATAATTTAATTTTAGAAAAAAAATAAGTAATTTGATAATGATATAAAAAGCCTAAAAATGCACAAATATAATAAAATAAGATCTTTTTGCAACAAATGAAGACAAAAAATTTTTTTTTATTTCTTATTTAATTTATACTGCCATGGGCAATAACTTACATTATTCAAAGTTGAACTTTGTAAACGAATTACTAAGTAATTAAATAATGATAAAAAGTATAAAATAATATAAAAATGGTGATTTAAGGTCCCCTGGCGGCAAAGAAAGATACTAAAAAAATCAAAACATTTTTTTACTACTTTATATTATCCAGGAGCAACAAATTACTGCTATTCAAAGTCAAATTTTTTTTAATAATCTACCCTAATATATAGAGTATAGGACAAAACATTTGCAACCAACATCGAACAATGCTAAAAAGTGTTTCTAATTTTACATACTACCACAAAATAATACCAGCAAACAATTCAGGAGTCTGGAGTCATAGCATGCCATGACATGATCAATCAGCTGATAGGTGACAGCACACAGGTAGAATTTCGTTGACAAGTGCCATTTTGCAGCAGACAAAACAAGTGCAATATTTTTGTTTTGTTTTGTTTTCTTAAGTCTGGCCCGTGTCAACATCACGGAAGGTTTTTAATAATTAAAGGAAGTATCCAGAAGTTTCCAGAAGCATGCAGAAGCTTCCAGAAGAAGCATCCAGAAGCATCCAGAAGTATCCAGAAACATTCAGAAGCATCCAGACGCATCCAGAAGCTTCCAGAAGCATTAAAAAGAAGCATCTAGAACAGGTTAACACAGGTTCATTATACTACATAAGAGACATGTAAACCAACGTAATTCAGTCAGTATATGGAAGTCAATCAGTCAGTATTATCAAGACAGTTTATCGAAGTGAGTTTTATCAAATTTATTGAAGAACATCAATACAAGAAGTGAAATACAACAAGTGTTTCATTACATCAATACAGTCCACATCCAATCAAGATGTTGTGTTTCACAGAGCATTATTGTATCATTACAAGGTAAATGTAACACGGTAAGAAGTGTGAGAAGTGTGATTATTTATTTTTATTATTTTTATGACTTCAAGTGCAAAAATTGCTCCTGACAGTCTTGGATTGAAACTAAGAAAGAAAATTATTGACGATTACGTAAGTGGAATGTCACAAAAAAGTATTTGAAATAAATATCGCGTGAAAAAAAGGACCGTATCAAGACTTTGTTCCAAATATTGTTCTACAGGGAAGTTGGCAGCAAATAACAAAGGTGGAAGACCGCTTTCCACCACTTCTAGAGAGGAACCTATGATTTTTAGATCCGTCAAGAAAGATCCTTGGATATCATCAGTCGAGATACAAAAGCAATTAGAGCTGCCTGTATCGGACTGAACAATCAGACAACATGCTGTTGAAGCCAGATTGTTTTCTCAACGCCCTGCAAAGAAACCGCTGATTTTACTAAAGAGCCAGAAGAAAAGACTTCTGATTGCTACATTTCATATTGACTGGAATGTGCAGAAATGGCAAACTGTCCTGTTCAGTGATGAATCGAAGTTTAACATCATTGGGAGCGATGGCATTTGCTGTATACGTCGACCGGCCGGAAAACGCCTCGATTTACATTACTGCCATAAAACCATGAAGCATGGTGGAGTTTTTCTGCTAAAGTCTGGGGGTGTTTTTCTGCTAATGGTCTAGGTCCAATACATTGAATCGATGGAATAACGGACTGTTTCATGTATAAAAATATCCTGAAAGATGTTATGTTACCTCATGCTAAATGGAGTATCCCAATAAAATGGGTTTTTCAGCAAGACAACAATCCGAAACACACTACAAAAGTAGTCCAGCAGTGATTTTCAGACAACCATCTATCGGTGATGGGTTAACCGCCTCAATCTCCGGATCTCAACCCTATCGAGAACCTGTGGGAGATTGTCAGCCGCAGAATTAATCGCGAAGGTGTTCGTAATAAGGATCAACTGTTTGAACAAATCCAATAAGCCTGGGCAGTTATTCCACAAAGTTTTATTGATCACCTGATTAAATCTATGCCTCGAAGATGCAAGGCTGTGATTGACAACAAAAATTCGCCACGAAATATTGATAGCGAAATACAGCTTGGTCAATATTTTGTGGAGTTGCACTTGTTTTATCCAGAAGAAAATCAACTT